TGTGCTGAGGACTCCAGAGCTGCCCCAGCACTGCAGGGGGGTCTCCCAGAGCTGGCAGAGGGGCAGGATCCCCTTCCTGCCCTGCTGCCCACGCTGCTGGGGGGGCAGCCCAGGCTACAGTTGGCCTCAGGGCTGTCAGAGCTGCTCTCCATCCCTTCACACCCAGCCTGTGCTGATACCAGAGGTTGCCCCAAAAGGACTGAATTCCCCCCCCCCCCAATACATATTTTGGGATGGTTTGCCTGGGTAAGGAAGCCCAAGGAAAGCGAGCTGGGTGCACCCCACAGTCCATCCCTCTCTGTGACACAAATCTACACCAGACTTGGACACCTACTCCTCTGCTTGGCCGAGCTCCTTACCCTCTTTGGAAGCAGCTCCTCCTGTGCCAAGAAGCCTCGTTTGTGGACGTTGGGATCGTAATCACCGTACTGGAAAGAAGCACAGACATCATGCCTGGCCCACATTAACAACGTGGGCCAGTAACATTCTTCACCCTTACACATCCACCCCTTGGGGTGACAGCAAATGCAGACCCCTTACACCCTTCACCTGTATGCAGAGGACACACAGTGCTCAGTTAATTTAATAACTGTATTTTTTTTGGTCAGTTGACTGCTAAGAAAACAAACCTCCTCCTCCTAGTTGTGCAGCGGAGGGGGAAGCAGAACAAAACTTCTCACCATCAGCTGATGTCCACCACCAGTCCACCAGCTGGACCAGATGATCATTGTGGGACCCTTCCAAGTGAATGACTCTATTCTACCCCAATTATCCTGCCCAGGAAAACCTCCTCTGATACAGGGAAAGACTCTAGATCTGAGAGCTCTTTGCCTTCCCACAGGGGCAGGGAGTCAAGACATGGCCAAAGACCTGTCCCCAAAGACTGATTGATTTGGGAGAGGCAGATGCTGGTCTCTCTGTTGCTGCTCACCACCCTAATGAATAAATAGCCCAAAAAATAACCAGAGTTTTGACAGACTCTTCTCAGGCATGTGTTGGCTTTTCTGCCAAAGGGTCTGTTGCTCAACTGGGCCGTGGAATCCAATTCAGATTGGTTAAATGCATCCAGTAATTACTAGTATTTGTTTAGATTTACATCTTTTTTTGAGCAGCATATAAAGTGGCTGAGAAATAAAACTGCTCATTAACAGATTGAAAAGCCGAGTGTCCCTGTGGTGCATGTGAAAATGGATTTGCCTCCTGTACAGCCCAAGAGGGGAGGAAGCTGCCACGAGACAGCATCTCAAATAGCCCAGCAAGTTCCAGAGAAGAGGAGGAGGGATGTGAGGCACGTCCACAGAAAGCTGTGATTTTCATTCACCTGGCAAACAGGACTTCTGCAGTGACACTCCCCAGCTACACAAGACACTCCTTCCCTCCCTGCTCTCCTGAAGAACCTCGCCTCAGCAAGCACAAAATGGTGACCCTCTTAAAAACCAAGACCCAGACACACATGGTGCTCCTCTAAGAAGTCAGGAAGCTTTCCAATCAGCCCCTTTTTAATGGCAGAACCATCGTGTTGCACGTGAAAAACAGAGCTCAGCACCATGAACCTACACACACATCCCTCTGCAGCCCGGGGAGCAACGTCTCAGAGATGACAAGTGGGGATTAAAGAAGCAAATATTGATTTGGAGCCAAGGCAGATGCAGAGGAACAATCACCACCAACTCAGACTCCAATTAATATAACAAAACCAACACAGATTTCATTCAGGAGGGTGCTGAGCACCAGCAACTGTCTGTCTTCCAAGGCCTACAGATGCTCTGAGCTCCTCGGAGACCAGCATATTGCAGGTGCACGTCCCTTGAACCCACATCAAAAGGGATCAGCAATAAAAACGTGGTCCTGGCAAAGGAAACAACTCCAATAACCTTGGAGAGGTTAGAAAATAAATCATTTTCAGGTGATGAAAATAATAGCAAATAGGATTAAGGCATTTATTTTCTGTTGTGAACTACCGTGGAGATCCAAGACTAAGTATGGATGAGGTGATTTTCGTGTGGTGAAAAATATCCCCGCGTCCCACAGGAATATTTGTACTGAGAGGGAGTCTGGATGAGAACATTAATTATTCACAAGCCAAAAACCAACAAATGGCTTAAGTGTTGCAGCCTGTGTTGGCTCAGACAATTCTGCAAACATACTTTTTGAGACCTTTTCAATGAAACCATTCCTTCCCAACTGTCAGGGAATTCCAGCTCCTGTTGGTTGTTTAGATGTTGATGGTTGCATGGTTAACAACCAAGGTTGCCCGTGGAAGTTGCCTCCACCTCACTCACAGAGCTGGTTTACACCATCCTGGGTAAACACAGGCACATTCTGCTTCGAGCTATTAACAGTGAGAACTGCTTAACTGGGGGAAGAAAAGACCAAAACAAAAGAGCCCTTTGCTAGTGCTGAGAGGGCTGCAGTGGCAGCGTTTAAAGGCCAAGAAGTGGAAGAATCTGAGCCAACAGTGTGCACATGCAGCCCAGAAAGCCAACCAGATCCTGGGCTGCATCAGCTGGTGAGACCCTGGGATGGGTTGCCCGGGGAGGTGGTTGAGGCCCCATCCCTGGGGGTCTTTAAGGCCAGGCTGGATGAGGCTCTGGGCAGCCTGATCTAGTGGGAGGTGTCCCTGCTCATGGCAGAGGGGTTGGAACTGGGGGATCCTTGTGGTCCCTTCCAACCCTGACAGATTCTGATCTGTTTTAGCAGAGGACTTTAGAGCCCTAATGGCTCAATGGTTGGACTTGATGATCTTGGAGGTCCCTTCCAACCTAAAGGATTCTATGATTCTATGTTCCCATTGTTTCTGCCAGGAGCCATTTTTCAGTAGGTTCCACATCTCTCCTGGCTATTTAAAACCTGAACTGCCACCAACCTCTGCGAGCAGTGTGGGTGGGTTGAACGCAGGGCTGGAGGGGAAGAGGCAGAGTAACTCCCCAAACGAACACAATGATACAGAAATAAATAAGCTTTTATTTTTATGACCCACAAGCTTCCTTTGGGATTGCAGGTAGGTGTGCGACCGAGCAAGCTGGCTGTCAATCAAATGGCTGCAAACACACCACTGTGTTAGGCTGTTATGCCCCTAATCATGCTAATCAACACGTTATTAGGGAAATTACTGTGCTCAGAGGCCGCTTGCTTGTCCAGAAAGGACATCATTACCCTATTTAACTGGAAGGAGATGACCTGCAACATCTTTCTTCCCAGCTCTGTATTGAAGATGTGCTTTCAGCTTTCTGCTCTGCTGTTAAATAAAGCAGAAGGGGGAATCCTGCCCAGAGGGGCAGGGAGGAGAAGCAATGGCTGATACAGCCACACAAGCACATCAGCAAGGATCAGAACCATCATCCCTCTTCCACCTTCCCGCAATCTCTGCGTGGAATCAAGACGTGCAAGGTCAGACCTGCTCTGGCTGACCTCCTGCAGACAAGCACGTCGAGCCTGCCACCGAGCACAAGGTCAGTGGCTGAGCTGCCAGGAGAGACAGGGGACAGCACAACAGTCCTGTACCAAATCCCAGCCCCATCCCAGCCACGGGAGCAGGAGCTGTCAGGGCTGAGAGTTGATCACCCTCAATATTTACCCAATGCTTTATTCATCTTGGCAACAGGGGAAGTCAGCCCCTCTGTATCCTCAGCTCAGAGGGTCAAGGGAGAAAGAGCCAGCTAAGTGTTTACTCAGGGGCTGTAGAGAGTGATGAATGGTTCACACAGACACAATTCCAAAAGCAACCTGGCTGATGAGTCTCTCCAACAAAATACGATTTCATCAATACTCTGACTATGAGAAGAAAACACCTTTTTCTAGTAAATTCAAACATTCATCATCCAAGAACACCGCTGTGCATCACCCGTGGCCCCCTGAGACAAACCAGGCATTGACAAAAGGGTTATCAGGAGGATTCTACAGCAGCCTGGAGGACTGGCCTCTGTTCCCAAGCAGCCTCCCTTTAGGCACAGAGCCCAATCCCCCCTCCTGTGCTGTCTCAGACCAGAGAGCCACCCTGCTGCTCCTAAGCTGCCCCTTGAGAGCAGGCAGATGGGCCAGAGCGAGGACATGGCCACCTGCCTGTGGTTCTGTGAGCCAAAAAGCACCCACAGAGTCAGAGCCCACTACAGTCACAAGGCTCTGGTGGTAACGTGGCTGGGCTGGCATCAGACTCCAACCAGCCCTCTCCCAAAACCATCACCTCTACACCCATAAACAGGAGACCAGCTAGAAGGCTTGTGAACTGAGCAGCAGCACGTTTGGCATATGCAGGGATAAACCACCTCCCCTCCTGCACGAACGTCCCCACTTCCAAAGCTCAGGCTGCTCCCTCTGCCCCAGGAGTCCCTCTGCTGCAGGCTGCTGCAAGCTGTCCAAGGCCACATGCTCCAGCCTGGAACACTGTCCCCTTAAAAAAGCCCCCAGCAAAACACATTGAGTCTGGCTCTAGAGCAGAATTCAGCCAAAGAATGAGGGGAACTTAATGACCACTGAGTTTTAATTCTGTCTAGTGAGGCCAAACACCTCAATTCCAACCCAGGATAAAGGGAGAAGCCAGAAACAGCCTTTCAACACTGCAGTAACATTTATGTGGCAAGCTGGAGCACTCAAAATCACAGCATCATAGACTGCTTTGGGTTGGGAGTGACCTTTCAAGGTCACCCAGTCCAACCCCCTGCAGGGAGCAGGGACATCCCCAACTAGAGCAGGTTGCTCAGAGCCCCATCCAGCCTCACCTGGAATGGTTCCAGGGATGGGGCAGCGACCACCTCTCTGGGCAGCCTGGGCCAGGGGCTCAACACCCTCAGCACCAAAAATCTCTTCCTTCTCTCTGGTTTAAATCTCCCTCTTTGAGCTTAAAACCATCATCCCTTATCCTGCCACAACAGGCCCTGCTCAAAAGTCTGTCTTCAGCTTTCTGACAGGCCCCTGGAAGTCCTGTCAGGCCACCAGGAGGTCTCCCTGGAGCCTTTTCCTCTCCAGGCTGAACAATCCCAACCCTCTCAAGCCCTTCCTCACAGGAGAGGTGCTCCATCCCTCAAAATGAAGCAGTTATCACAATGACAAGTACTCTGGGAAAGCAGTGGAGCTGGGAGTCCCTTGGCTGGTTTGCCTCTGGCTACAACAGCAAGAGCAGGGAGCAGATCCAAAAAAGCACGGGCTGGGGAATTCACCTGCTCCAGCAGTGAGCCACACTTGAGCATGCACTGCAGCTCGTAAGCTGAGCACTTGCTAAAGAGTCCTGGAAAGAGAAAGCACAAGTCTGTCCAATGCCTGAAGGCAGCCAGGAACCAGCCGTGCTGAGAAGGCAACAGCTCTAGTGTAGTCCCCTCACAAAAGTCCCAAATTTTGCCACCTTCCCCTGCCTTCCCCTCCTTTGGGAAGCAGGCACGTCACAAAGCACCCACCTTAACCCACCACCAGTGAGCCCTCAGAGCATCCCCCTGTTCCTACCTTGGCTTGGACGGCGTAAGAGGCCAGCAGGACAGAAGCTTCAGGAGGACAGTAGATCTTCTCATCCAAAATCTGCTTCTTCACCTGCATGGAGCAGTAAAGGACACACGGCCTCAGTCAGTGGGCAGTGCAAGGCATGGCTGTCACAGCAGATGGCTGCTTTGCTGTGAATCCAGCTGTCACCCACACCATTTCCCTAATGGTAATGACAGTGCAGGCCCTGGAAGTCTCTGGTGGCTCGGGAGGGTTCAGGCTTTCACGGGGCACCTTCTTCAGACAGGTTTGGCAGAAGAGCTAAATTTAGACGTGGGAAGTGACAGAATCTATATCCCATGGCTAAAGGCAAGGCAGGAGGGAAAGCCTGGCATGTAAACACAGAGTTAAAGCCTCTCAAGGCGTAAGCTATGGATTGATACCACATCCATACACTCCACTGAACTCCAAAAACAGCTCACAGCCAAGTCCCTGAGCACACAAAGGTTTTGCTCTGGGATATTCAGGCCTCTTATGAGGCTGTGCTCACCTATGCTGGAGATGAATTCCCCCTAGTCCCACCAGCAGGGAGGAGAGCTGCAGGTCAGCTCCCTGGCAGGGCTGTCAGCAGCAGGCAAAGCCCTGCACAAGCTCCCAGCAGAGCCAACAAGCCATTCCCCAAAGCCACAGCTTTATATTTCCTGGCTTCTGTGCATTAAAAAATTAAACCTGTCATGTCTGATATCTTTTGGGTTTGCACACTTAATTTTCCTGAATAAAGACATGGGAAAAAAAAAAAAAAAAAAAAAGCCCTACTATGTCCTGGGAGACTTAACTGGATTGTCACAGAGATGCAGCAGCATCAGTTTGAACTTATAACATGCTTTGAGCCCTCAGAGTTGGTTACAACATAATCACAGCAGATATTCTCCTGCATCAAGATAAAAACAGGAGAGTTTGCCAGCTTCTGTGTGCTCCAGTTTATGCATTATAGGAGCCAGGGCTCCTCTCATCATCAGAAATCCTACCAGAAAAATCACAGTCTGCATTTATAAAATGCAGATTTAACAGCTTTTCCTTCCCAGTTTCCCTTTTCAAAGATGCCAACAGCATTTTTCCTCACCAGGGATAAAGCCTATGGCAAATGGGACGTTTAAAAATAGCCCTAAGGAGACACCAGTGCAGGAGACAGGCCTTGGGAGTGAACAGCACTGCTTTGCATTTAGAAATCCTTCAGCAACAAACAAAGATGAACTCTGGAGAAGCAGGGAGGATCTGGAAGCTGGTGAGCTCACTCTGATACCCATTTGAAAGGTCAGAGCACACTGAAGCCTACAGAGCATCAGTTTCCTCTACTTTGGTGTAAGAAACATAAGAATGAGTGTCTAATTTATAACTGATTTCAAAAACAGCCACAGAGCAGCTGAAACATCCCAACAAGAACCCAGGGGTCTGGCTGGGACTGCTCTCCTCCCTGCAACCATAGGTGACACAACCCTTTATAGGGCATCATTCCAGAAAATTGATCTTCTTTGAAAAAAACAGCTCCTGCAACAGAAACTTTGCTGCCAGCCATGCAGCACTGCCACAACACCATCAGATGAGCTGGGGTCTCAGGACACAAAGTTCAGTAGCCTCATTTCAGTGAAAAAGCCTGAAAGGTGTGTTCACCACACCTTCCAAATGCTTAATGTAAGGGCACAGGTTACTGGGGCAGGTAGGACTGTTGGGTTTCCCCTTCTCCTCTGCTTTTGCAGGCTCTGACCTATTTTAAGAAGTTTTTGTTGTTGAAGACAACTCCCTTCAGAGAGGTGTGACCATAACAGTGAGGATCCACATTCTGCTGCCCAAATTTCTGACCCTGGAACCTTCTCACACTCCTGCTCACCCTGGGGGTTCCTTCTCCCCTCGCCTGGGATACAGTGCACTGAGCCAGCTCCTACCTGCAGGAAGAACAAGTGCTGTGTGATTTCCTGGACCAGCTCCTCCTCTGCATTCTCAGGATAAAATTTGGCCAGGAAGTGGAAGGTGACAGGCTCCTCTGTTGGAACATCATGATCCAGCACCTGTGGGATACAAGAGTCACTCAGCTACTCTTTCTAACTTCTTCAGCACTCTTGGAGCCAAGACACAGCTCCCTTCTGCTCCAATCCCCACACCTTTTGTCAAGCCCTTTAGACATTTAGAACAGACAAACCAACCTAAATAGTTCAGAAAACATAGTTAAAAAAAGAAGACAAACATTTCTGACGCTCCTAACGATGCCAGGAAACAAACAAGGCACAAACAGCATGAGAAATGAGACAGCAGAGGGTGATCCTGATCTGCCCAACCTCGATGCTGGATCCTGCTATGCCACCATCCAACCTCCTCATTGCATCCCTGCGCTGCCTCCTCTTGTTCAGGGCTGCTCCTCGCTACCCTTCTGTTGTGCTGGCATCATCCAGTTCAGGTTCATGCCAGTTTAAAGCCTTGGCTTGACATGTGAGACCCCCAGCCCCCCTCACAGTGCCCCTTACTGTCTATTTGCAATGTAACAGCCTTTGGAAGCAAACAGAACCAAGTCTATCACTTCTCCTATCCACCCCTCAGCACATCTGGGAAGCACTGCCTCCTGTACCCCCACCTCTTTTTCACTGCTCTGGTTTTCCTCCTCCCCAAGCAATTTGTACATCTCAACAACAACAGAAGCCAAGAGACAACTTCACTCTTCTGCTAAAGGTTTTGTCGTTGAGGGGCACAGAAGAGAGACTTCCAGGTCTCATTTAGATCATGGTCACCCTAAAGCCCAGCCTCCCAGCATGGCTGTCTCCAAAATGCCTCAGGGGGGTTCAGTGTGCAAGGTGTGAAGCTTCTCAGCTCAGAAGGAGCTGGGGTAGGTTATCTCTGCCAGTGCTTTCCCATTTGACTGATAGATGCCACAGGGATGAGATTTAAACACACTTCACCCCATTCATTTCCTCAGGCAATCGAAGGAAGAGGAGCAAAGTACATTCTCCTTTGACATCCCACATGGCCTCTCAAGGGAAATTTGGTTCCAACCTTCTTGTCCATTTTGAGCCAAGCCACCGTGTCCTTGATGGTGTACTGCAGCCCAAAGAACCAGGTTTCTCTGAGTCCCAGTGTCCTGCACACCAGATCAAACAGGTCCTTCCCCTTCCACTTCACCTGTGGGAAAGCAGAGATCAACAGTGGATTTCAGCACTTCATCTCCATTCAACCACATCCATTCCCTTTTCACCTCACAGGGCCTGTGAGAGTGTGGGGAAGGCAGCTGGTACAGACAAGGGAACAACCTAACGAGGCGTACTTTATAGCCTTCCATCTGATCCCATCTGCTGATCCCCAGCTCCTCCCTCACCAGGAATCACAGAATCATTTGGGTTGGAAAAGACATTTCAGAGCATTGAGCCCAAACTGCCAGGTCCCCACTGCCCCGTGTCCCTCAGCACCACATCTCCACAGCTTGGAAACCCTTCCAGGGGTGGGGCCTCCCCCACTGCCCTGGGCAGCCTGGCACAGCCCTGGACAACCCTCAAGGGGAAGAAATTGTTCCTCAGCTCCAACCTCAACCTCCCCTGGGGCAACTTGAGGCTGTTTCCTCTTTTTACTTGTTCCTCAGGAGCAGAGCCCGCCCCCCCCCTGGCTCCAGGCTCCTGTCAGGAGCTGTGCAGAGCCAGAAGGTCTCCCCTGAGCCTCCTTTGCTCCAGGCTCAGCACCCCCAGCTCCCTCAGCTGCTCCTCCCCACACTTGGCCTCTAGACCCATCCCCAGCTTCATTGCCCTTCTCTGGCCACACAAACTGAGCTGTGATTTTTGCCATTCCTGCCAACACCACTGCAGATAAACCCCACCTTGTCTCTTCTTTTGCCAACCTACCAACATCCAACAGAGGACCCAGAGGGTTCGCTGAGGCTCCTTCCGAATCACACACTGCTACAAGCAGCCTGTCTCCAGCACAAAACAAAAACCACTTTCAACTGCCCCTTTTTGGCTCTGATGTCTCTACCTACAGCCCCGGGAAGCCCTGCACGAACTCCAGCACCAGCGACAGGCTTTCACAGACAAGGGCATGACACCTTCCCAAAAACTAGAGGAGAAATAATCTATGTACAAAGTGTCTTCACCCAGAGCTACCGACCCTGCATGAGGAGAAGGGAAAAAGAGCTCAGACAAAAAGCCCCATCAGTGCAGTCAGCACATTTTGATAGCCTCAAAGTGCATTTTCTGCCAAAAATGGTGACAAAAGCAGCTCTGAAGCAGAGAAAATTGGTCCTGCTCAAAACCTGTGTCCTCTGAGCCACCTCACTGATGTTCCTACCCAAGTTTGCTGGTAAGGACAGGAGGCACTGGGAGGCAGAAAGGTGAAGAGGGACATAAACTAGATGCATCTAATCTGCCAGAGCCACTTTGCTCTTCCATCTGCCCGGCGGAGACAATGGCTGGACCTAGACATATGGCCATGACTCTGAGCCCCAGGGCAAAAGGCTCCAGGCACATCCTCTTGTCACTACAACTCAATCCTGGTGCCACCTGGCCAGCATCAATATTAATGCTCAGGCATGGCAGGGGCTGCTGGGGGGGGGGGGGGGGGGCAACCACACCCCAC